TTTGCTTTCTGATGTCAGAGCTGCCCTCTCTGATGTCTGGTAATCTGACAGCTCTTGGGGAAAATATTCAAAAAGCAGCAAGAGCAAGTAGAGGAAGCACTGTTTCAAAGAATAAATAAAGCAGAAGCAGGGAGATCCTTGATATTCGCATGTACAGTACGGAGAAAACTGAACACAACAGTAGCCAAAATCTCACTCCATATCTTGTAAGACTAGAAATTGGAGGCAGTAGTACCTTAGATGGTCTAACACTGCCTATATACAGCTATGAAGCTCAAGGCACAGGACGTGCAGTGTGATTTTTGAGGAGGAATTCCAGGCAAATGGAATTGTGATTTTTTTTTTTTTTTTGCTTGGGCAAAGTTAAAACTAGATGTTCCCTACAAGATAGCAAATTTTCACTTTTGAGTTGAACTACACTTTAAAGGGTTGACCTAGTATGGAGATTGTAGTCAGTAAATTAGCTGTTTAGGGTTCCAAATAACCCAGTCTGAAGTTTTGTTAGTGATATGCTATATACCTGCTGAGCTAAGTTTCTAAGTAATATCTAAAGTTTGAACTATGGACAGTAAGTAATAGTAGGCTTGTTTTGTGGTTGGCACCAGAGGCATCCCCAGGCATGGTGTGACCCGGAGCGGCCACCAGGTGACATCCCCCTGGGACGTCATAATATATCACGTGAGCTTACCTGCTGGCGGCCATCGAGGTGATGGACGCCAGCAAAGAGAAGGAGGGGTCGTTCACCCGGTGCGATAAGGTATGCCGCTGGGTCCCGTCCTCTCTCCTGCAACTGTCGGGCTCTCAATCATTGACTGAGTGCCTGACTTTTCAGAAGGGGTGACACCAAAATGACTGTCAGTCATTTTGGTGTCACTCGGTGCGGGCCGCACCCCCCTTGTGACGCCACTGGTTAGCACTACTGTTTTGCAGTGCTAGCTTTAACCACTTGCTGTCTAGACCATTTTCTTAATTTCTTCACCCCAAACAATTAATATTTTCTGAAAGCAGATGGCCTGTACAATAAAAATGCTAGTTGCAATTTTTTATCTTGCAATAATTTTATGATACAATATACTAAATTAATTTTATTGCACAGAAACAGAATATAATACAATTTTTTTTGGTAAAATATCAAAGATGGAGCTGTCGGGTAAAAAGATACCAAACATGTCAACCCTTAAGATTGCGTGTACCTGTAAAATGGCAACAAATTACCAAAATTGCCCATAGTCAATAGTTTAAAAGCTTTTAGTGTTAGGGGCAGGGGACTTTACAGGTTTTTGGGTGTTTTTTTTTTTTTTTGTGTGACTTTAATTTTTTATGTTTTTTTGGATACACTTTATTGCTATCACATAGGGAGCTAACAAGAGTATGTGACAGGCCCTCTTTATGGAGGCATCAGGGGTCCATTACACCCCTAATGTAACCTAGGGACCCCAAAGAAACTGATGGATCATGCATCACCAGCTTCTTCTCTGACCAGAGAAACCGGAGAAAAGACGGCGTGAAACCGAATGTGATGTAATACACATCACTGCCGGGTTTATTGATCGGAGGGGAGATCAGCCCCATGGAAGTGTCTCCTGAAAGGTATACTCGCCCATCCACACTCCCTTGCCATGCCTCCGCTGCAAGATTCCACCCTAAGTAAGACCTGGTGTTGGAATGGTGATGGAGCTTACAAAGGTGTATGATGTCATTGCTGATTTTCAAGCCTAAGCAATATCGCACACGGGGTAGGTCACAAGCTCCCCCATACCTGGAAACTCTACTCTGTTATTGCAATAGAATGAGGCCTCACATGGAGCTGGTATGCAGCAAGAGGGGGGGGAGGGGAGATCGGTGAGTATACCTTGCTGAAGGGGTGGGCTATCTGGAAGCACTTTACACTTTAACCAAGGTTCCTGGTGCCCTGGTCTCAGACTTGTAGGAAATTGGTTCTACACCTACATGACAGATGTTCCAGGCAAGTACTGTACCTCTGGTACTTGGAGGTGATATTTTTCAAGGTGGCTTTAGACAACTAGAATTCAGTTTTGCATATAGGATTGTAAGCGTAATGGCACATAAAGACCTTTTGTGTGACACTTCAGCCACACAACTGGGCTCTTAAGGTTGGGTTTAAAATTTCAGGCAGAACAAAAGATCTTGCAGAGTTCACCTTTCTCATAAAGAGTGAAGCTAAGATTCCGTGTCAGAGTTCAGACAATTTAAGCACACTTAATGAATATGATTTGCATGTTTTTACCCATGATCCCGGGTGCCGTTCTGTCTAATTTTGAGAGAAAGGAAAAAAAAATCTGGTTTTATTAGCACATTGTACAGATTTGCAATGAGGCAGAATGAGCCAGTTGCTAAGCAGCACCTCGCAGATCCCTCTAAATGAATACTTCTATGCAGCCAGCATACAATGTCCTTTTGTGTTTCCTCTTTCTCTCTATTATTTATTTTTTTGGTTACAGACACAGCTGATATCAGCCAGGCTCTATCAAGGCTCACCGAGCCAGCACCGGTCCCTATACACAAGCTGTCCGTCACCGGCATGGTCAGCAGTGCCAGGAAGAAGATCCGCAAACATCGGGGCGCCGCCGAATCCCCATTAAGCAGCGACGTTCTAAACGCTGTTTTATTTGTAGGTTTTACTGTGAATTTTTTGATTGTTTTTGTATTTAATTTCTTCCTTCACCTGTTGTATCTTCTCAACATGACCCTAATTTAACGCATTCATCTTAGCAGCTAATACAAGTGTTAATTAAGAGTTGCTGCAGTGTTGGTTGAGTGTGAATTAATCATATCTGTTGTTTACCTTGTTAACGGTTCAGCCTCCTGAATATATTGGGTATGTTATGGCGTTAGAAACATTTCTCTCTGCTCCTGAAATCTGCCAACTGCGTAATAGGGCTATTTTTACCCATGCATATCTACCACGCTAATCAGCTGGTGACAGAAAACGAGAGACTGAATGTATATATGCAGTTCAAGCAGATTTGTTTTTGTTTTTTTTTGCACCCCTGGAGCATCTGGCACCAGGCTAGTCAAGGATACTTGGTGTGCCAAGATGTAATCAAGGCTGGACAGATTGATGTATAATTTAGTCAAGTTATCCGAAGTGCCAGCAGGAGTTTTAAAATTCACACTTCATATAAGTCAGTAGGGCACATATCAGCATTTACCAAATCGCATAATTACCATTATTTCGGAGTTTTAAAATAGTATCTTTTTGAATATTCAAAAACGAGATCCTGCTCCTGAGCTTCTCCATATGATCTAAAGCCCAGGCAGCCAAAATCAGATGGTCTTAGCTGCCAGTTGGGTGTTTTTACATCATTTTAAAAAGGCAGATGGCAGGAATGAACTAGGCTGGGGTAGTACTAGTAAGAAATGTTGGGCTGGTGACCCTGATTTAAGATACTTCATCCATCAAGCCTTGCCCACAATGGGACCCGCAGTCAGTAAGGTGCAGATGGATTATATACCTACCTGCTCTTCATCAGACATGAGATCACAACTACTTGCAGAGGGAAGTCTTCCAGCATCAACTTCCTTTGCTACACTTGATGTCATGTGATTGAATGGCAAGAGGCACAAAGGAAGCTGATGCTGGAAGAGTTGAAAACCGTGTCATAACGATCCATGTGGTTTATGAACACCCACCTTTCACCGTGCCCTCCAATCACCGCGGCACCATGACACAATTTGTGTGGTATGCTTTCTTTCGGCCAGCCTAATGTGTCTGTATCATAAAGTGGCCACTTGGTTGTGTTTGCTTCCTGCCAACATTAGACTTGCTATGATATAAGAAAATCTGAGCAGCACTTCTAAGCAGGAAGCAAAGCCTGCATATGTAATTAGCAAATATGACTGTCCATAGGTGGATATATTGCAGAGCTATATCCAGAAACAAGACCAAAAACACACCCTTCCTTTCATGAAAGAAAAACATATATTCCCTTTTACATCTTGACCCTTTGGCTTTTCTCTTTAGACCTGAAAGTGCATCTGAATTGTTGTTGGCAATTATACATAGGACACAATAGGAAGCTTCTAGTGTTAAAATAGATGGCAGTGAGCAGATAAGGGGACAGTATTACCGTACAATGTCCTGAGGCCCTTAACCCTTTGTTAGGAAATAACTGCTTACATACAAATTCAACTTAAGAACAAACCTACAGAACCTATCTTGTTCGTAACCCGGGGACTACCTGTACCTCTGGTACTTGGAGGTGATGTTTTTTTAAGTTTTGCATATCGTGTAAAAGTGAAACATGAAATCTGACAGCACAATACAGACATTACATTTTTGAAACAAAACTCCCCTCAGCGATCAGGGTTTTTCAGTCCTGGAGTTTCCAGAATAGAGCTGTTAAAATGTAAGGTAAGGTTTTTTTTTTTTTAAAACATGCATTGTGAAAGGGAATATACACTGCCTGGCCAAAAAACACACTATAATATTTCATTGGACCGCCTTTAGCTTTGATTACGGCAATCATTCCCGGGGCATTGTTTCTATAACCTTATGTAATGTCACAACATTTATTTCCGTCCAGAGTTGCATTAAATTTCCTGATCCTGTAGTGATGATGGAAGAGTCGGACCACTGTGCAAAGTCTTCTCCAGCACATCCCAATGGATTTAATGTCTCTTGCTCCCTGAACCACTCTTTCACAATTTGAGCCCGATGAATTGCCATCTTGGAATATGCCCAATGTGCCATCACGGTCATTTAGTATATTTAGGTAGGCAGCTGACCTCAGTTTTTCAGGACATAACATTGCTGAACCTAGACCTGACCAACTGAAGCAACCCCAGGTCATAACACTTATCCAGTGGAAGGCTCCGACCTATTTGCTTAGCTAAATCCAAGTGGAGACTTTTTTTTGGCCAGGCAGCATATAACAAATATAAAGCAGGTGTTATCCCAATTTGGCCCGTTGATCTCAGGAACAAAGGTAGAATGCATCAGTTCTGTTTAGACATTATCCATGCTTCTAACTCCTAATAGTCAGGAAGATGTAGAAAATTATTCATTTGTGTATGGTCACTCCTCCTGAGAATTTAATTCCTTATCCGTTGTGAAATAACATCTTTTCCCATAATGTCAAAGGATAGTTTCTTCTTTTCTTCTTTTACTGTAAGCTGAGCGGTCCTTCTGCCTGAAATAGCGGAAAGGTGTGAGCACAGAAACAGCATCTTCCAGGGTGTTAGGTCCTGGACTGTGTGCTAGTCTCTCTTTCACTGCAAGGCTAGAAAGTAAATGTGTTAATTAGTATTAATTAGTGATTTCAACAGCTGCTTGTATTAAATATACTAGTTTTTTTTTTATTAGTCAACAAGCTTCATCCAAAGGACATACTATTGCATTCCTTACAACATACAACAGTGCCTCGAAATCAGGACAACTTTAAAACGAGAACTTGTATGGAAAAGGCTAAGTAGAAAGCAAACCCCAGAGGCATTGTATCTTGGCCGCACTCCTTTGCATGTCAAGCCTGTTGTGGGGAGGCAGCAGGATGACTTCCAGAAATAGCACTGTGTTATCAGGAGAGATGCCAGCATAATAAAATCTTCTACACCCTCCTGCTCTGCTACTGTTTCAGCATTAACTCATCTTGCTAAAATATAAACATCAGGTGTATGGAGCCCAGGGAAGACATGTAGAGTAACCAATCAGTGATTTTGCAGGCCTTGTCTAAGTCGGGTGTGGGGTCTACTCATGTTTGTCAAAGATGGTGGACTAATGTGTTGAAGCGACTCCTGCTAACTCGGAAAAAAATGTTTACAGGCTTTTTTATTGATTTAAGGGGCTCTTACTGACCTGAGATTTCCTTCTAGTTTATTAAAGTTAATAACAGAAGATTGCAACTTTGAAGGAAACTATATATTGAGGGGAAATAACAAACAGGCAGACAGCTGAACCTGGGGGTTAGGTTACAGGTCTCCTTAACCAATTTAAGATATTAAATTTAGGAGATGCATCCTAAATAATAACTTCAACACAGTTTCTAGGACATATCTCTTATATTCAGCTCATCTCCTCCTGGCGCAATTACCTCCCCTGTCCCCCTGAAACTATTATCCACAATTACTGGCAGTTAAAATGACAACTGGGAATTGCATAGCAGAAGCAATTACATAGCAGAAACAGTTGTCAAAATGCAGTTGCTCCCGTGTACAATTACACTTGCGGATAGTCTGCAAGTGTCACCGAGTAACGAAGTGTAACAATGTATACCTCCTCATATATCACTTCCCCCTCCCTTTTAGATTGTAAGCCCTCAGGGGCAGGGCTCTCCTTACCATCTTGTCTTGAATTGTATTGTGATTGTAATGTCCTCCTTATATTGTAAAGCGCTGTGCAAACTATTGGCGCTATATAAATCCTGTATAATAATAATAATTTACTATTACACATATATTTACATTGAAGCTGTGACCTTTGACCTCTGAATACAACATCAGTTAAATAGGCTTTACAAAGTCAACAAAGCCTTTAAAAGAAGAAAAAATTATATCAAATATTATTAATCCCCCTTACCTTTTTAGTTAACCCCAATCAACTTCTTCCTTCCTTTCTCTCCAGTTATTATTTTTCTGCTGATCAAAATAGGAAAAAAGCAAATTTTTATCATCTTTTAATTTTTTTTTCTATATCGATGACAGTAAAAATATAAAATAATGTGCAAGACAATATTGCCCCAAAAAGCCTAGTTTGTCCCTAAAAACACACAGTCTATATTACTTGGTTATTTAAAGTCATACTCCAGGATCTGCGCTGGGTGTGAAAATGATCATTAAAAAGCTGTTATGTGTGGAGGGCCGCTGCAAAGTATTAAAGTCTTACCTCGCAGCATGCCGATTCTGACACATCATGGCATTCTTCTGGGTGCTGCAGGGAGTGAGAGATCCGACTCGAGCAGTGAAATGCTCCAGTAGCATCCCTGGTCCTCCTTCCTACTACTTGCCCATTCACAAAATGCCTTATATTTTTCTGAAAGAATACAAGGCATTCTGTGATTGGAGGAGAGATGTCACATCCTACCCCTTCTTCTCCAATCTCACAACGCATTGTATTTATAGTTTTAAGTCATGACAAAGGTACAGGCCCATAGCGGAAATATAACAATTGCTCTGGTCCAGCTGAAGTGGTTAAAGCCCAACATTTTGACGTGCATAAGGAAGGATTAAAACCTATGTGTGAGGTGTTTGATTTATTTATGTTTCTGCTGCCTGTGTCTTGTTCAAAAAGATGTCCTATCAGGCCCTACTGGCTAGTTGTCAGACAGAACAGTAATTGAGAAGTGGCCTCTCCCATATGGGAGCAATAGACAGCACTTCCATTTTGTATAACGGGTATCAAAGAATAGGAGGTGGGTGGGTATCTCCCCCAAAAGGGGGCACAGATCGTGCTTAAAAGCAGAGGTTCTTACCCTTCCCCATGCTATCCAAAAATAAAATGCCTGAAATTGGACTTGAACAAGAAAATGAGGTGTCACCGAATTTTACTTGCTTTATATCCAAATTAAAGTCACATTAATAGATATGCAGCTATATAGAAACTGTAGTTGCAATGTCTATTTTCATAGTCTTGCTTCTAAATATGGTTGTGCAGTCCAATAGGCACCAGAGTTAGACCCACTGCACTCCGTAAGAAACCTTGTCAGACACACCCCTCTCTTCCTCTTCAATACAATTTTCTGTGAGGAAAATAGTGGGAGTTTTGTCAAATTTAACTGCACAAGTGGGATTTTGGAAAAAAAAAACAGTCAGTCCTCTAAAATATCTAGTAGTCTAAGAAGGAGTCCTGTCAAAGGATCCCCCTTGCTTGTTCACTTCCCATTGATGCAAACCAGATCTTATATTTTTGCTGTAACTTGTTTCAGAGAGTAGAAAGCTCACAGTGAATACAGAGATGTTTGGATCATAAGAACATTCAGAGAGTTTCGTATCGCCTCTTTCCCATGTCCTTACATTTCCTGTTTCTGCTTTTTGCTTCCAGTTCCTGTTTCCAGATGCAAAATCACTGGATGGAGAGCCAAAGCCCAGTGGATCCACGGGAGACATTGCAGCTCACACAGAGAGTGAGGATTATGTAAGTATACAATCCAACCAGTTGTAGGTGGACCATCGCGGAGTCCGCTGAGTATTTCCTCTTTGTGAAACAATTTCAGGGAAACATTTTTAACTTCTAATTAATCAAAAAGTCAGGCCTGGGGGATCCTACTTCTCCAGCCAACCAATGAGGAAGGGTATGTCTTGGAACTAATAATGTTATCTTAATAGGGATTGGATTTCCTTTTTCAAATATATATATAATGTATATGTGTTTTGTGAAATTACACTTTAAAGTAGTGTTTTGCAGCTCTGTTAAACAATCGACACCGATAGATCTGTGTATGATAGACTATATATAGTAAATATACTGTGTATGATAGAAAAATATATTTCTTACCATTTTAAATGTTTTGTTGCAGCAGGCAACATGGCTGATTCCACATTTTTCTCAGCACATACACAGTGATCTGTCCTTATAGAAAGACTTAGGGCTGAAATCCCATTATCCATGGTCCCTGGGTGTGTTGTAAAGTAGTCAAGGCTCCAAGCTCACTCCTGTGATGGACTACAATCTCAATACAAATGATCAAACTAAAGATGAGTTTGTAGTCCATCACAGGAGAGAGCTTGTAGCGGCGGCTGCTTTACAACACACACAGGGACAATGGGGTACAAAAGTAGCCCCCCTCCAGAAGGAAGGACAGTGTCAGCACCAATTCAGAGATGATTTGAGGATCTACAGCCGAGTGATACACAAATAAGATACATTTTTGTTAAAAGTTAAGGTACTTGAATGTATTTTTAAGATTTAACTCCTGAGTTTAGTGTCACTTTAAGACGTCTCTGAAGTGTGAATGTCTTTCAGGGGAAGTCATATAAAACTGCAAATACTGAGATACTGGTATCTCTAACAACATATCAACGCAACATTTTGTAGCAGTCTTGTAGGACCTTAGTTTAATCCCAATAGCAAGGGTCGCTTTAAGAACAAGATCATGGCTTTATGTGGTTCAGCATGAGTTAATGAAGCCCCTGAAATGACCACTATAATAACCTTGGTTGTCAGTAAAGCATGTCTGGAGTTATCCGCAGTGTGGTGACTGCTGACACCAGTTCTAGTAATTGCTGCTGTATAATCAGAAACCTACTGTATTCCTTCAAGGATAATTAGATTTTAACAACTTACAGGGGACAATAAACCTAAATGATAGTTGGGCTTATATAAAAGAGCTATTAATAGCGTTCTCGTAATAAGTATGTAAAACTTTCTAGAACTTAGCAGGTCTAAGTATTTTTGTGATAAAAATTTTAGTTCCATTGGGAGGGGGAATGTGTTCTTCCACAAAACAGACTTCCTGACCTGCAATCCTGTTCAGCTACTTCCTGTCTGACAAAGTTATGGAACTTTATGACCATTGCAGGTTCAGGTTGTGACCGGTTAACAATAGTTCCGATAGGTTTTGATTATGTTATCTGAAGTTAACATGCTGTATGTAGTACTATATACCCTGACAATTTTTAATTAAGTGACAAAAAAAGTTGACCTAATTGTAGATTTTAACACTTCTCAGAATTATGCAGCCTGTGTCTGTTGGAGAAATTGCCCTCCTTTCCTGTCCCTTTGACCATACAGGAAGTGAAGGTTAATGAGAATTACATCACTTTTAAGCCCAATTGAACTTTGAGTTTAAATCTGCTAAATACTTTTTGTTTGATGCCCCTGGAATGTATGTTGTTTTTCAGTTTGTTTTCTTAGAAAGTCCCCACAGCCTGAGTAGAAAAGTCTCTCCCGTGCTATCATGCTGCAGAATGGGACCTTTTCTTTCTGTGTGGAAGCAGTGGTCTCTCTACAGAGATTTGGCTCTCCCCCTGCTGAGTCAGAGCTTAAAGTTCTCTAGTCAGGAGCCCTGATTGCAGGGCAATATGTTTTCCTATATGATTGGTGTCTGCACAGAGCCCACTGCTTTCCTACTGAGAGCAAGGGTCTCACTCTGCAGCATGCTGGCAGGGGACAGGCTTTTCTACTCGGGCTGTGTTTTCCAAGGAACCGAACTGTAAGGCTTTGAACAGTTTTTGTTTTGATGCCCCTGGAATGTGTTTAGCTGGTTTTAGTTGAGTTCAATTGGGCTTTATTCAAGCTGCTAGCAGGTTTCGGTAGACTTTCAATATGCTAGCAGCTTGTTTTAAAGGGACAGTCAGTTTTCCATTAAGATCTATGTTGAATCTTCCAAAGCTTGCTGTACACATTGCTTTACTGTTTATTTCTACTTAAAGCTATATGCTGAGAGCACAGCCGCGCTAGAGCCCGGACGGATCCCGATAACACTGTCCAGATCCACCCCGCTGTCTGATTGACAGCTGGCTCTGCCTCTCTAGAGTCAGAGCCAGCTGTGCCCGCCCCATCCATTCCTCCAGTCAGCGTTGGAGGATCAAAGATGGAAATCTCTGTGGGGTGGCGGAGGGGGGGTGGGGGTCGGTGACTGACAGTCAACGCTCTCTGCAGGGAGAGGATCGGGAAGTCAGCGATCGGCGGTATGTGTTGACGTTCTGTACAATAGAGCCGACGTGTGACAGCTTCAGTGTCACAGGTCGTCTTGAATTATGGGGATGAGTGTATTTCACTCACCCCATAATTCTCCTTTTAAGGCTTTAAGTACTTCAGGTACTTTAACGCATGAAGTACAAATAAACACTAACAGGGTTATTCAGAAAAGGGTGAAGAGTTTGGAGAAGTGAACAATCTCGGACAACATAGCTGAACTGGAAAGTGAGCTGAATTGGAGAATGTTTCCAGTTCAGCTATGTTGTCCTAGATTGTTCACTTCTCCCACCTTCTCCAAACCCTTTACCCATTAGTGAATAACCTTGTAAATGTTGTTTGTGTACATAATGTGAAAATATACATGGGGGCAGCCATAGTTGTGCCTGTTCCTCTTATTCCAGGCAGTGTTTGTCTGAAAAAAGTGAACTGTGAATTCTTTAATGACATGCATAAAACACCCCAAATCCTTTTGGTAACGAGAGACTGTAATCTTATCCTGGGCTGTGTAAGAGCACTGTTTAAAAAAAAATAATAATGTGATGCTGACACATGAAGAGTGATTTTTAATGGTGCGTCCACTTTAATCTTTGAGTATAGGTCTACTTTAAACCTTCTATTGCTGGAAGAGGTGGTTCTACAAAAACACATTTCAGAGATTCATTACTTTTGCAAACAACATCCATGTTCAATTTTTTAACCAGTTGACATCCGGGTGTTAAACCCCCTTCCCATCGAGGCCATTTTTCAGTATTCAGCGCTGCGGTACTTTGACTGACATTTATTCCGTCATGCAGCGCTGTACTGAAATTAATTTTATACCCTTTTTTGGGGACAGATAGAGCTTTCTTTTGGTGGTATTTATTCACCACTGGGGTTTTTATTTTTTTACTATATTAAGGAAAAATTACCGAAATTTAAAAAAAAAAACTAGTTTCCCCTATATTAAATGATAAAACATTTATTATTACCCAATTTTTTGGTAAAATATAAAAGATGGGGTCACGTCGGGTAAAAAGACACTAAACATGTCAAGCCTTAAAATTGCGTGCGCGCGCGAAACCTCAAAAAACGATAATACCCAAAATTGGCCATAGGCGACGCTTTAAAAGCTGTTACCGCTCATCAGTTTAGTGTTATCAGTGATTGATGGCCCTAAAATGATTGCTCTCACTGCGACGTTCGCGGCGATATGTAACATGTGTAGCGCAATTGTAATTTTTGCGCGCTGGGGCACCGGACGCGTATTTACGTTTATAGGCGCGTAAACGTGGGGGTGGGGGAGTTAAACATTTTGGGGGGGTTTTTCCCCTTTTTTTATATGTGACTTTTATTTTATTTTACTTTTTTATGTGTTACTTTTATTTTTTTTTATTTATATTTACTTTTTTGCACTTATTGTTATTGCTATTATATAGGGGGATAACAATCCCCCTATATAATAGCAAAGGCACACTGACAGGTCCTCCTTTATGGAGACATTAGGGGTCTCTAGGACCCCTAATGTCACCTGTGGACCCCAAAAGAAGCTGATGAAGCAGAACGAGCACATATAGACGATCGGCGGGCTATGGAGCCGCTGATCGCCTATATGTGAAACACCCGGTAACGGGTGTGTGCAATAGTCGGGTCTTTTCTGCCCGTGCGTGCCCGCTAGGGGGCGCGCGCGAGCAGAAAAAAATTGCCGTCTGGAGACGGCAACCCGCAAATGCTGCAGTGCCGTCCGTCCGTTTTTTTACTACGGGCGGATGGCAAGTGGTTAATTTCATTCTAAAATGTTTTTGCTGAGATAAAATAGTGTGACGTTAAATAAAGTTCGTTTTGAGGTTGAAGCGGGACTGGCAGTAATAGGCAACATATCAGGTCCCTCCTCCATCACCGCTTGCTGCTTTAGGGCCCATTTGCACTATTGTGGTAATGCATATGTAGTAACATACATTAGTGTGATGCATTCTGAATGGCACCCCTACAAGCCGTGCTGATGGACATGTAATGCAGCACAATGCGTGCCAGCGCCCCAGTGCTCATTGTGGCACAGACTGCTGTTAAAAATGCTACATGTACCTTTTTTGGCGCATTTAAATGAATAGGCTGCCTTTATGCAGTGAAGGTGACGCAGGTTAATAAAATAATTTTGGTGTGATATTGGTTATTTAATAAAATGCAAGAATAGGTTCACGTGTCTGAATACATTTGCAAGGCCCTGTATATATTATTATGATATATGAAAGGACGGTGAACTTGTGCTTTTTTAAAGGTCGCTGAAATCATCGGTGACACCCTTATAATTTACAGCAGAGGGCACATTATCCCATATATTATGTATGATATAATATGTGAAAGGACTACCGACTGCATTCACATGCATTTATTTTAAAGCTTGTGTAGCTGTCGAGACAAGAAAGCAAAAGATCTGAAGCTGTAATATAATAGGGATATTAAGAATAAAGTGTGAAATACCAGAAAACATTTTACAGGAAGCAATAAAACCTGTGCAT